CGAAGCATCTCACAGGAACTCATCCTGTTTTCATTACTGAATGATTCAGCATTTTGAACGAATCGGTTGAGTCAAGGATTCAATGACCCATTCATAAACATCAACTGTCTCATTCTTGAATGAATCAACCGTTTGAACGAATCGTTTGAATTAATGAATCAATAACTCACTCATTTATACGGCCGCCTGCCGCCACCTATTGGCAGTTTAGTGTTATGTTTATAAGTAGCCTAGTATAATTCTTTTCAATATTTCTTATTTGCACATTTAAATCAATTTCATAACATTATTTTATGAAATTGTAATTTTTCAGTGTAAATGATTTAATTTCATCAGCCCTACCTAGGGTAACAGTATGCTTCATCTTTCATTTTAAATTCCTAAATTTGATCAATAAATTCAATTATTTAGAATAATAAGACACTATAGGGCATTTAATAATATTGGTGGATGGGGATGCCCTTAAAGGTGCATATATTACAATTTGCCTTTTTAAATATCAAAGCTGATTGAACACTGATGAGAATATTGCTTCAGAATAAAAAATAAATACATTTTAAAAATCCGGACAAGCAACTTTTTTAATCGGACAAGTGATTGACAGATTTACTTACTTGTCCGGAGGACAAGCACGTGAAAAGGCTTAAGGGGATAGTTTACTTTGAAATTAATTTTTGATATGTTTTAGCTTAACTCAAGGGCATCCAAGATGTAGGTGTCTTTGTTTCCACAGTAGTTTCAATTTTGATATTTTTAGGTTTGACTATCCCTTTAATGCAGAGCCCTGAATAATTTCCTACCCATCCCTTGCTGCCACTGAAAAAAAAAAAAAAAAAAACTTACCTACCGACCCATGACCTCAACTGACAACCAACCGGAACCAAATTTTTTTTTTTTAGGCCTCGTACACCAAACGTCTGTACTCTGTATTGAGCTGCTTCATGTCAATCATTGTATGCTGTATGCTTTCGAATCAGTACTGTGATGTCATACACCAATCGTCTGTACTCTGTACTGAGCTGCTTCATGTCAATCACTGTATGATGTATGCTTTCGAATCAGTACTGTGATGTCATACAATCGTCTGTACTCTGTACTGAGCTGCTTCATGTCAATCACTGCATGCTGTATGCTTTCGAATCAGTACTATGACGTCATACACCAATCGTCTGTACTCTGTAACAGGCGCGGATTTATGGGCGGCCAGATTGACAGGTGGCCCACCCAAACAGATTATTAAAAACAATTTAAATTTTTAATTTTCATAATAATAATGAATTAAGTTTGGCCTTACGGCCCCCCCAACACTTTATATGATATGACAAGCGCTGAGCGCGTCCATCTCTGGCTCAGCGCCAGCGAGCGCACAGTTTGAATCTGGCAGTGATGTCATGTCACTGTACATATTTTGTCCAGACTTCGACACCCTTGCAAGGAGAGTAGACGAGGCTCATTGTTCACATTGGTAAGACAAAGAATAGGGCCCGTTCACAGATTGCGCACTCAATTTTGTAATTTCAAATGTACGTTCATAATGGAAGCAACGTTGTCGCGCGGTCTGGCGTCTGATTGACTTGTCAAACGCGTGCGTTTCGACAGTCAAGGGACGCGCGATTTGCCATAAAATATAATATCTTGACGACATTTATAAAATATAACATCTTGACCATATTTAATGTTAACATATATTGCATAAATATTTTTATGTATAAGTATGTGTGAATATGACAAATATTATGCCCAGAGCTTTCAATCATTTTTTCATGTATTCTTCGGATGTTCATGCCTATTCCACTAGGCGTTGTAAAGATTTGTATCTTGCCTTTTGTAGAACTACAGCTAATCAATCTACACTGAAATACAGAGGGAATTCCCTCTGGAATCATTTGGACCCTGTTTTAAAGACTACAATCACTATAAACACTTTTAAAAGAGAGCTGAAAAAAATGTTAACATATAATTAAGTTTATTTTGTTAATTTATTGTATTAACATGATTGATGTATTGATTATATTGTCTTGCTTGATCATGTAATTTTATGTCCATTTTAATGAGATTTTGGGGAAGTGGTTTTATAACACCTCATGTCTTCTCACTTTCTGCCGCACAGTTTTTTTTTTTTTCCGTTAATGGACTTGTAAAGTTGTATTTTAAATGTTATATGTGCAAATAAATAAAATCTAAAAGCTCGCATTCTTAACGTGTGCTTTGTGGTCACGGAAAATGCGCATGAGAAACTCCCGGGTTTGCAGCAAAACGTGTGTCCTCGACGTGTGATCTGCTATTTAAACGAGATTGTTTCTGTCTGCAGGTGTTTTAGGTTAACAGCCATATATTGTCTTATTATTCGAAATAATTGAATTTATTGATCGAATTTAGGAATTTAAAATGAAAGATGAAGCATACATTTAATTATATTGGGGGATGGATGCCCTTTAACGGTGCAGAAATTACAATATGGTGATTTAAATATCAAAGCTGATTGATCACTCATGAGAATATTGTTTCAGAGTAAAAAAAAAATAAATAAAAAAAATGCTTTCAAATCAGTACTGATGTCATACACCAATCGTCTGTACTCTGTACTGAGCTGCTTCATGTCAATCACTGTATGATGTATGCTTTCGAATCAGTACTGTGATGTCATAATCGTCTGTACTCTGTACTGAGCTGCTTCTTGTCAATCACTGCATGCTGTATGCTTTCGAATCAGTACTGTGACATCATACACCAATCGTCTGTACTCTGTAGAGAGCTGTTTCAAGTCAATCACTGTGTGCTGTATGCTTTCGAATCAGTACTGTGACGTCATACACCAATCGTCTGTACTCTGTAACAGGCGCGGATTTATGGGCGGCCAGAGTGACAGGTGTCCCACCCAAACAGATTAATAAAAACAATTTAAATGTTTAATTTTCATAATAATAATGAATTAAGTTTGGCCATACGGCCCGCCCAACACTTTATATGATATGACAAGCGCTGAGCGCGTCCATCTCTGGCTCAGCGCCAGCGAGCGCACAGTTTGAATCTGGCAGTGATGTCATGTCACTGTACATATTTTGTCCAGACTTCGACACCCTTGCAAGGAGAGTAGACGAGGCTCATTGTTCACATGAACACCATGACTTGGTAAGACAAAGAATAGGGCCCGTTCACAGATCGCTTCTTTTGCGCACTCAAGTTTGTCATTTCAAATGTACGTTCTCATAATGGAAGCAACGTTGTCGCGCGGTCAGGCGTCTGATTGACTCGTCAAACGCGTGCGTTTCGACAGCCAAGGGACGCGCGATTTGCCATAAAATATAACATCTTGACCATATTTAATGTTAACATATATTGCATAAATATTTGTATGTGTGAATATGACAAATATTATGCCCAGAGCTTTCAATCATTTTTTCATGTATTCTTCGGATGTTCATGCCTATTCCACTAGGCGTTGTATCTTGCCTTTTGTAGAACTACAGCTAATCAATCTACACTGAAATACAGAGGGAATTCCCTCTGGAATCATTTGGACCCTGTTTTAAAGACTACAATCACTATACACTTTTAAAAGAGAGCTGAAAAAAATGTTAACATATAATTAAGTTTATTTTGTTAATTTATTGTATTAACATGATTGATGTATTGATTATATTGTCTTGCTTGATCATGTAATTTTATGTCCATTTTAATGAGATTTTGGGGAAGTGGTTTTATAACACCTCATGTCTTCTCACTTTCTGCCGCACAGTTTTTTTTTTTTTCCGTTAATGGACTTGTAAAGTTGTATTTTAAATGTTATATGTGCAAATAAATAAAATCTAAAAGCTCGCGTTCTTAACGTGCGCTTTGTGGTCACGGAAAATGCGCATGAGAAACTCCCGGTTTTGCAGCAAAACGTGTGTCCTCGACGTGTGATCTGCTATTTAAACGAGATTGTTTCTGTCTGCAGGTGTTTTATGCTATATTAACAGCCAGTGTCTTATTATTCGAATTAATTGAATTTATTGATCGAGTTTAGGAATTTAAAATGAAAGATGAAGCATACATTTAATAATATTGGGGGATGGATGCCCTTTAACGGTGCAGAAATTACAATATGGTGATTTAAATATCAAAGCTGATTGATCACTCATGAGAATATTGTTTCAGAATAAAAAAAATAAAATATAAAAAATGCTTTCAAATCAGTACTGATTTTTTTTCTTTTTTTTCTTCTTTCAAATCAGTACTGATGTCAGGCGTTAAAAAAATAAAAAAATAAAAAATAAACTAAAAAAAAATGTGTTTGTTTCCGGTTTCCGACCGACCCTGTCAATTTATGTGCGACCCCAAATTATTTTATGAGCTTGGGGAAGAAATAATAAAAATTAAATAAATACACAAATAAAAAACTCTGAGGCGAACTATTAATTTACGTTTTTGTACAGCTCCGTCTTTTTATAGCACGCGATGTAAGATGCATCTTGTCCTCCAGCAATCTATTAACAAACGAGGCAGATATCGTTCGTCAAACTGAACTATAATACATACTATACAAGTCTTTTTTTGTAATTTAGGATATTTTTATTCATATTCGCACACATACAAATACATGCATTCATAGGCATGCACACACCACATACTAATACCTCCATCCGCCTATAGTTTTATAAAAAATCATCCTATCATGATCCAATCATGATCCCAATCACATCTTCTGCTGTCTAGCACTTCTTTCGCCATGTATTTGTTCGTTTCTTTCATTATTTTATGCAATCCAAAACACTCTAACCTGCCGCGGTTCGTATCTCTAGAGCCCGTCTAACTTGACCGCTTTTCCGGGACAAATGGATTTTTGAAGGTCAAGTAAAAGAGAATTTTACTCGCCTCAACGGACAAGTAGCCTGAACATCAATAACAAACAAAAAAATAGCTAGGGAATCACTAAACCGAGAGAATGATTCTGATTTTATTACATTTATTGCAAGTTGCGATCGATTGTGGATAATAAATGTAGCAGGCCTACTGAAACGAAGACCTTGATAGCTAGGACTGTAATTATAGCTTGTTGGGATAAGTGACCACTGTGGTGCATCGGTAAGAATGCAACTGGATGCTCTGACTCTCTTGAAGGGGTTTATTGACAGCCAACAGATGATTGTCTGTCTTCTTAGAATGTACAGTATGTGTGTGGTTCTACAACAACAACAATAAAGAAAAGAAAAATATCAGCATACAAATAACAAAAATGCTGTCAGGATAAAATTATTAAAGCTAATACTTGTCATTTAGTATAATCTTCCCTTCAGGTAACTTTAGCTATTTAAATCAAATAAACAAAATAATATACCAGCACACATTAGCTTATTATTAAACTAAACAGCCTTCTCTCAGTAACAACAACAACCAAAAACACATAGTTCTCGACTACATAATCATTATAAACACTCCATGAATAACTATGCATGCAGTATCAGATTAATACTCATAAGCACAATAATAGTCTATTACTAATAATACTAGGCATTAATGTGCTGTTAGCGAACTTTAAGCTAACAATACTACATTTCAACTGAGTACCTCAGATTAAGCAACACTCATAAATACCCTAATACACCAAAATACATATGTAAAACATTCACCAGGGTACTCACATGTCTCTGAACGCACACATGCACGGATCACAGCACAGATGACTGATTTATTAACTATTCTCCTCAGAAATATCTACGATGGGCTTCCCGGCCACTCTCACCGTTAACTCAAAAACGAAACCTATCAGTTCGCGCAAAAACGGGTGTCCTCTCCGTGACTCCAAAACAAAGGCGCTGATTGGCTGATCCCCGTTACCAAGACATTAATAACGAGTCCTTCTTTACAGCCGCCCCCAAATTTGCACAGTCAAATTTGCTGTCCCAGAGAAGGACTATTGGTCTCAGGTGCTGTCTCAGGTATGGCAGGAAGTGGAACAAGACGGGCAACTGGCCGGGTGTAAGTTCTGTTGTTCACCTGAATCTCTGCTGTCCTAATCCTCCCATCTGCACCTGGGATAACCTTAGTGATGCGGCCAATAGGCCAAAGTGCCCTCGGGAGTTGTGGGTCAACGATCATGGCAACAGCCCCAGATTGTAGTGGGGCCACTTCTTTCTGCCACTTGGTGCGCGTCTGCAAGGCAGGAAGATAGTGCCTAATAAATGTCCTCCAGAATTGGTCAGCGAGGACCTGCGTATGCCTCCAGCGGCGGCGGCTCAACAGCTCGGACTCTGGATACAACACTTGAGGCAACGATGGGTCGGGCCGCCCCATCACAAGCAGATTGGGGGTTACTGGGTCAGGGTCTGCAACGTCACTGGATACATACCCCAAGGGCTTAGAGTTTAGGATGCCCTCTATCTCGATCAGAACCGTGCGCAGGACTTCTTCTGTCACTGTCTGCATCTGGATCGTAGCATACAGGGCAGCTTTGATAGATTTGATTTCCCTCTCCCATGCACCACCAAAGTGAGGCGCACTTGGAGGGTTGAATCTGAACTCAATCTGATGTTTGGCCAGTTCTGCTTGTAAAGTGGGGTGCAGTGCCTTGAAAGACTCGTGGATTTCCCTCTCTCCCCCTCTGAAATTTGTGCCCTGGTCCGACAGAAGCTCCGCTGGTTTTCCTCTGCGTGAGATGAATCTGCGGAGGGCCATCAGAAAGGAATCCTGGTCTAGACTAGTCAGGACGTCTATGTAGACAGCTCGGGTAGTAAGGCACTTAAATAATATACCCCAACGCTTCTCATTACGCCGTCCGATTTTGACCATGAAGGGCCCGAAACAATCCGTTCCTGTAGAGAAGAAAGGTGGTTTCATTAACCGCAGGCGGGCAAGAGGTAAGTCTGCCATTTGTGGCACTGCAGGCTTTGCTCTCCATCTCCGACAATCAGGGCAGGAGTGCTGATGCCGCTTCACCGCTTCTCTTCCCCGAAGGATCCAGTACCGTCGGCGAAGCTCTGCAAAGAGTCGCTCTGAGCCTGGATGACGAAGATCACGGTCAGCATCTTGTATGATGAGTTTAGTCACCTGGTGAGCTGGGTCCAGAACTATCGGATGAATGGTTTCTGTGTCCAGCAAGTCACTGCGACGCAATCTGCCTCCAACCCGGATCAGCTGCAGTCGATCATCATATTCAGGGGCTAATGTAATCAACCGGCTGGTGGAAGGGACAGGTTTTCCTTCTGAGAGGTGTTGAAAGTCCTCCCCGAAGCAGTCTAACTGGACTTGCCTCAGTAAATCTCTCTCAGAATCCCGATAGTCTTGTGCAGTTGGCGTTGACTTGCTACCTGCCGCCCCATGGCGAGACCTCACAACCGCCTCTAACATGTCCCTGAAACCATTGAATTGACTGGCATCAAGTAAGGGCGGAAGAGGGGTGGTGGTGATAGAGCCGCAGAATGTAGCCTTGCGAAGCTCTGTGGCGTCCAACTGCTCAGCCTTTGGCTTAGTAGGCCAATACTCAGATGACATGCGCAGAAATGCTGGGCCGTGCTTCCACCGGCTCTCCCCCCCCAGCTCCGTTAGGGTCTTCCCGCGCGTAATGTCATCTGCGGGATTATTTCCAGAATCCACGTACCTCCATGCTTGGGCCTCAGTCAGCTCCTGGATCTCGGAGACCCTGGTGCCCACAAACACCTTAAACCTGCATGAGTCTGACTGAAGCCATGTAAGAACTGTGGTGGAGTCTGTCCAGAGTACCACTTCATGAAGTACCAGGGTGAGTTCACGCTGCAACAACCTTGCCAACTGAGCTCCAGTCACCGCCGCACATAGCTCTAATCGAGGTATCGACTGCTGGCGCTTAGGAGCCACTCTAGAACGTGCAGTCAGAAAGGCCACCTCCACTTTACCACCTGAACCCTCCGTACGAAGATACGCAACTGATCCGTAAGCTTTCTCAGATGCGTCACAGAATATGTGGAGGCTCCTGACGGAACTTGGGTGATCCAGAGGGGGGCTTGAATAGCATCGTGGCAAGACAATCTCTGGAAGGTGCTGCAGCTCATTCTCCCAGGTTATCCAGGCCTTGAGGGCGTCATCTGGCAGTGACGGGTCATCCCACTCTCTCTCTTTGTTCCATAATTGCTGGACAATGATTTTGGCCCGCGTGGCGAAGGGAACGAGAAAGCCAAGTGGATCAAAAAGACGTGCCAGTGTACTATAGATATTCCTCATAGTAGGTGTGGGACGGTCAGTTAGGCTGCACTTGTATGCCAGAGTGTCTGAGGCACAAAGCCATCGGAGTCCAAGTGCGAGCTCCTGTGGATCCTCCATTGATTCTGTGAACCATAACTCACTGCTCTCGGATCTCGCCCCTTTTGGAAGGTGACTGATAACTTCTGGAACGTTACTAGTCCACTGACGCAGCTCGAAACCCCCTGAGGCTAACAACATCTTCAATTTGTCAACCAGCTGTCTTGCTGCTGTAGGGGATGAGAGGCTCTGTAAGTGGTTATCCACATAAAAATAACGCTCAACGGCCACCCTGACGTCCTCCTCTGGCTGGCTATGGTCGGTCACATGTTTCTGTAGTGCAAACGTTGCACAGCAGGGGCTGCATGTCGTTCCGAAGGGGAGGACCTGCCACTCATAAGTGCAGGGTGGCGCCTCTTTGTTCAGGTCCCTCCAAACAAAACGAAAGCAGGGATCTGTCTTCTGGCAGCAGCCTGATTTGGTGGAACATGCCTTTTATGTCACTACTTATAGCGACAGAATGCTCCCGAAATCTTAGCAGGACACCTAACAGGCTGGAGGTCAATGTGGGGCCTGGTAGCAGAAGCTCATTCAGGTTATAGCCCTTGTATGCAAAGGAGCAGTTGAATACGAGTCGTGTTTTCCCATTATGACTCACCATGTGGTGAGGTATGAACCAGGACTCTGTAGACAAACTCAGCTCTTCTTCTGTTACCTTCTTCACATACCCTGCCTGTTCCAACTTCAGGATCTCTGCTGCATAGGCTGATGCTCGTATTGGGTCTTTCATCAGACGTCTTTCGGTGCTCCGCAGACTCGCCAGTACAGCATCCTTGGAGGTGCGGAGACAGGGCATGTTCTTTACACGAAGCAAGGGGGTGGCGTAGCGATTGACTCCGTCGACTTCCACCCTCACTGTCCTGGTTTCCAGCATGCGAACTGCCTCTTGATCGAGCTTTGAGCGAATCACCATCTTCTCACTCCTATAAGGCAATACGTCCATTTGCCATAGCTTCTCAACATGATGAAGGAGCTCTGCAGAGGGTGACTGTGTGGCGATATGCAGACACTGCTGTGGCTGGAGATATTGTCTGAGGATTTTGGTTGGGCCCTGAATAGTCCAGCCCAACTTGGTCTTTACAGCGGCTGGTCCTCCAGGCGGACCCATACGAACCGGTTCCACTGGCGTGATCAGGTGCGTGTAGTCTGACCCAATCAGGACCATGGGATGAACACATTCCAATGTTTGCAAAGGGAGTCCTTTCAGGTGTTTATATTTGCGCTGGAGTGTCTTCAACCGGTTGTGAGTGCTCTGCCAGCCCCAGCTGATCGGCAGTAAAGGCTCTCCTGATCTTGTAGGATTTTTGGGGGTGACTGGCAGGAGAAATAGAGAAGGAGACAGACATACCCTGTAGAATTCTAAGATCCTGGCGCACAGTCCTTAAAGCGAGGCTCTCTGGTTCCCCTTTAAGTTTAAGCTCTTTAGCAGCGGCTGGAAGTAACATAGTCCGCTCTGACCCGTCATCCAGTATCGCGTAGGTCTCCAGGGCCTGCTCTCCATTATGTAGCACAACCTTTGTTACCTTCAGGAGCACCTGACTACAGCCAGACTGCCTATCCAAGTAGAGAACTTCATTGGCGGTACTCACTAAACAGGAGGTGTTCTCTGTGGCTGGTGTCACTATGGCTGACCTAATGTTAAGGTCGTGGAGAGCTTCCAGATGTCTGCCATTACAATTCTTGCACCTGGCCTTTAGTTTGCACTGTGCGGCCTGATGACAGCGACCCACAACGCCAGCACCGCCTGTTTCTCTTGATCCAATCTCTCCGCTGCTCAGTTGTTAGCTGGCTAAATTTACTGCACTGGTTCAAGTAATGCAGGGCATCGGTACAGTATGGGCAGGGCAGAGTGACTTTGCCTTGTGGATTGGCACTGGTGGATGGGAATACTGGGACAGTCGGGCCACTTGAAGACTGTTCCGCTCCATGGAGGACTGTGGTTGGCCTGCCATACTTTGAGTCCTTCCGTCTCTCCCTTTTACCTTCCGGGTTCTCTCTGGGTCGGGATTCATATCCATACTCCTGAATCTGCAGCTCAAACTCCAGCCAGCTAGCGAAGTCTAACAGCGTAGGACACGGATGCCGAGGGGTTGTAGGTGTCTCAGAAATCCAGACCGCATGTCTTGCGGGAGCTTGGACATAAGCCTAGTGACATGGGACCCACACTGAAGCTCAATATGGCCTTTCTCTCCAGCTGATCGAGCATGCCACCAGGGTCTCACTCTGAGGGCAAATCCTTTAA